CTCCCTCCCTCCCTCCCTCCCCCACCAGGCTCGGAGAATGGCTCTGCGGAGGGAAGGCGGGAGCGCCGGAAACGAGAAGCGGGGGAGGGAGGGAAATAGCAAAGTAGGGGGGCGGCGATGGAGACGGGGGAGCGCAAAGGCCGAGTCACTTCCGGGAGTGGCTCGGGCGCTTCCGGCGCTGCTCGCGCTCCGGGATATTCAGGGCGGAAGTTACGACAAGTAGGGGCGGAAGTAGCTTCCGTCCGGAGACGCGCCGCGCTCCGCGGACGCGACGCCGCAGCGAAAACGAAGACGGCTTCGGCTGAGGGCAAAACACTGGTCAGGGGAAAGTGCGGCTTCCGGGAGGGGCTTGCGGGAAGCGGGAGGGTGGAAGCGCGACGGGGTCATGAATTATGCATCAAGACACGAGGCAGGTGCGGGTTCTTAGAACCGGGTCTCGGTTCCCTTTGCTCTGGGTGCGAAAGGCTGCTGTAGGACGTCGCCGGTGTTCCTTCTTGCACCACCAAGGGTGTCTCGACGCTCTGGAGATGCGGGAGGGAACGACGTGTCCGTGGTCCCCCGAGGTCTCTGCCGAGGCCCGGAGAGTGACAGTCTTTTCTCGCCAAGAGAATGCGGCCCTTCCTCCTCTCCGACCCCGCCCTGCACTCGGTCTTTTCTCGTTGCCCTCGTCCGCATCTCTGCCCCCTTGCCCTGCTTCAGCCCTCGACGCAGCACTCATCGTCACCCGTTCCGTCGTTTACCATCCGCCCTTTCCTACCAAAACATCGGCTCCGCGGAGGCAAGGACTTTGAGTCGTTCGCTGCCTCGTCCTCGGGTTCGGGCCCTTCGGCAGCGGCCGGTAAATGTGTGTTGCATGAAGGAGCTACATACAGTTCGGAGGAACACCGGTAGGAAGGAAGTCTTCGGGAGGCCGTCCCTGACTGTGCCGCTCTCAAAGGGTCCTTCCTCTGGCTTCAAGCCCACAGCATTCGCCTGTACCTTCTATTGCTACTTTAACGGCTTCGTATACGTGATTCCCCAGCAAGACTGCCAGCTTAGGGAGGAAACTGCTCACCTTGCTTTGCTGAGCACATAGTAGGTGCTAAGTAAGTATGTGTCGTTTGAGTCAACGCATGTTGTCACAAGCCTGCACCCTGACCTGGTCAGAATCTCTCTGGGCTCAGCCCTGTTCTGGCTAGAGTGGTATTGTGGTCCCTCCCGTTAACAATGAGAACTCCTAACTGAAAAAGCAAATTAACCTTAGCACATAATTATAATGCCTGTTTTACAGGTAAAGAAGAAAGACTGAAGGTGAAGTGATTTTCCCCCCAAGGTCACAGCAAGGAAGTAGCAAAGGACGTCCTTAAACGTTTAAACAAATGGTGTATACCTTTACCATTGTAGTCTGTATTACATTTTTGTAATGTGCTCAGCACTATGTTGACTGAGTAGCAGCAGTTGGAGGGTTAGGGTTTCTGGAGCTCCAATGTGACCAGACCTATTGCTGTGTGGATTAGAGAGCACCCATTCAGGAAACCTTGGTCTGGGTACTTGCATAATCAACGTTTGTGTACCTAATCCTGAATTGTACCCCACATCTTCATAATAAAAATAAATCTTGATTTGGGAGACGAGTATTGGAAAGTGGGAGCAAAATAGCAGTAATCCCTGCAAGTCTTGGTCCTCCTGTTCTTTTCTTTCCTAATTACATCCACGGGCCACTTCCTAGGCCTCAGTGTCTCCAACTGACAGTCCTGTCCCGGCCCGTGCTCTCAGAAGCAAGTCTTAAGTGCTTTGAGCTCCTTAGAGAAAGCTCTGGAGCAGTAAATGTGGGGCGTAGCGGGAGGAGGGCTGTTAATTTTAGCCTGGGGTTCTCCAGCTGGCACACAGTTTCCATCCTGAATCACTTCCACACCCTGAGCACTGCCTGGGAGATCCCTCCTCCTGGGGGCTTCCCCATTCCCTGGTTTGGTCTGAGCCACAATGGCAAGCGCTGCAGAAAAATACTAAGAGAAGCCTGGCTGAGTCATCTGATGTGCCGTACAGAAGGGGAAGAGGGGCGATGAGAGCCGTTGGATCCAGCGGTGCCCGTCACATGTGGCCAAAAAGGACCTAACACGTCCCAAAAGGGAAGCATGCCATTGTTTCTGTTCTTGGTTAGTGACTCTGCTGCAGCCTCCAAGGACCTCCCAGAGCCCCAGGTCTCTGCTGCAACTAAAGGAGAGAGAATAGGGAGGGTCTGTTCCTGGGGGCCTTGGGACTCTGCATGGTTCGCATGACAGTGTGATATAGTTTGGGATCAATCCCCTGGTCTCCTTCCTCTGTCTTTCCCTGCCATCTGACTTTCCACGGGGGAAAGAGGGCACTTCGGGAGAGGGAACCGGTAAGCATTTCCTGTCTTGCTGGTACATTTTAATTTATTTAAATTAGAGGAACAGCGGTCCAATCAGGCAGCAATTAATTCCCTCTTCATTAGGGGCCATCACGTGTGCCTTCTACATATGGATGAGACACAGGTCATACTGTCCCCCTGAAGGTGAGAGCCAGGATGCCCTCCAGTGCCCCTCCTGTGTCCGTGATTCACTTCTGTCCTCCTCCCCAGCCTCCCACCCCACAAGGACTGGATTCCTGTGGGGAAAGGAAAGTTAGCACAGCTTCCTCTCCCGCCCTCCAGGGGTCTCTCCCTCACTGTCCCTTCCACCCGATGCCTGCCGGGAGCCCTTCATGCCCCACGGGATTAAACCCTCTTTGGAAGCTTGTCTGCCTCACACCTCTGCTTTGAGCAGTCTGTCCTTTTCTGAGGGAGTCTGACGCCCTGAGCGCACACCCTGCTCTAGTCCTGGGAAGTGCGTGTGGACTCCGCCCCCCTCCCCTCCTTCACAGGAAACCTCATACCCACGGCACACGTCTGCCAACGCACAGACCGGCCTGATCCTAGGCTCAAAGATAAACACACGGCGGCACGTGCAGCCCAGGGCCGCGCCGACTGCCCTCCTGCATGCTACACTATCTCCTGTCCTCCCTGGGGCACCCCCATTCCAGGGAGCTAGTGGGGTGCAGATTCGAGGGGGGGAGATGGGACCCAGGTGGTTACCGTGGCAACAAAGCCGAGCGACAGCTTAGAGGCTGATGTGTGGGCTTTCCCCGGGCTGTTCCAAGAGCCAAACCTAGAACCGGGGACTGGGAGGTGACTGATCCCAGCAGGCAGCCCGCATTCCCTCCCCCAGACACAGACTTGGAGTCCGCCCCCCACCCTCCCGCAGAGCCTCTCTTGAGGGCAGAGTGGCGAAAGCTAATGGCTTAACCACAGGGCTTCTAAAGCGGCACAGCTTCTGGGGGGCAGCTGGGGGTGGGGGCCGGTCGGGGAGCAGGGCTGAAAATAGACCACGCAGGGCAGACTCTGTCTTGTGGCTCCTCTCATCTCTTCTCCATTGCTCCCATTTTTCTCTTCTCCTTGCTCCCTTCACCCTCCGTCTTGTCAGCTCTCTTCCTCTCCCTGTCGCTCCACTGCCTGTCCTCTGGAATCTTCCCTTTCCTTCTGCATTTCTCTGCCTCTCTTGGCCCCCTGGAAAGAACAGTGAGCCGCGGTTCCACTTCATTTCTCTGCTTCATTTCACCACCGCAGCCCCTTCCCTCTCCCATCCTCCCAAGCAAACCCTGGTCGGTCGCAGCTTCAGGTCAGAGCAGCTTCAGGTCAGAGCAGACCACGTGACACCAGGTCGGGGTGCCCCCCCTTCACCTTCTCCCGGCTGCCCATGCTTCTCCTCCCTACAGGGGCCACAAGGTAGAACCAGGGGACTCCAGTATCTTGCAAAGGCTTTATTGGAAAATTCTGAAACTTACATCCCACAATAATTCAAGATTATCACCACAAGAAGAAGAAAGAGATAATACAAAAATATATATCACAGCATAGGAGCCGGGGAAGGAGGAAGGCGGAAAAACCAGTGAGAAGTGGGGGAGAACCTGAGGAGGGAAAGCGGGAGAGGGAAGGAGGGGACGTGGGGAGCCCAGGAAGGCAAGGGGTGGATTTGGAGGCAGAGCGCCTGATGGCCTTGAACCAGCCGGCTCTGGCCCTGGCAGCCCAGGTGGAGGGAGGGAGGCCCGAGGGGAAGCTGGGAAGTGGAGGGCCGGCTCAGGGCTCTGAAGTCCAGATGGCGACACACACACACACAGCCAGGACAGACCGGACGAAAGGGACTTGGAGGAAGGGAAAGTCGGCGGGGCTCCTTTCTTACGCAGTGCAGCAGGTGACTTCTCAAACCCCACCTCTCAGACAAGACTGGGGCAGTGGGTGGGGGAGGAGCTGAGGGCCCCATGACCCCCACTCCCACAGGGGAGCCCTCAGGGTGATACCAGCGCCCCTGGGGTAGGATGGCGGAGACGGAGAAACACACGACGCGGCATGGGATGGAAGGGGCCGTGACGGCCAGGGGCACGAGGGGCGCCAGCTCGCCTCCCACCTACCTCTGGGGCAGCATGCAGGGGCCTCGGACGCCAGGGCAGGAGCGTCCTGGGGGGCAGTGAGCACGCCACACAGCAGCCCCACACCGGCCAGGGCACGCACGTGACCCGGAGGGGCGAGCTGAGCATGGACCGTGGCCGGAGAGGGCAGATGAGAGACAAGAGGGAGAGGGGAACCCCGGCCAGCAGAGGCGCGGACGCGAGGTGCAGAGGACCAGCCGCACAGGGCATGAGCACGTGCGCTGCTGAGGGTGCAGTGAGTGTGCAAGGCTTCCATGTGAGTGTGCGAGGGGGAGGGGACCTGAAACCCCGAGTGTGTGAGCCTGCAGGAGGGCGGCAGGTGGGACCACCCGTGGGCCACTGAGTATTCCAGACGGCGTGCAAGGGCCGGGGCCAGCAGCCCCCGTGGCCCGGGCTGCCCACAGCAGCCCGCCCTCAGTGGGATGAGGGCCGCACTGGCCCCTCGGCCTCCTGCGTGGCTGCACCCCAACCCTGGGGGCATCACAGGTTCACCAGGGGAATCCTGGGAGGAAGAGGGAAAGGGCACAGTCAGGAACCAGTGGGCAGGCCGAGGTGGAGGGAAGTCCGAGACGGGGAGGGGGTGGGTGTGTGTGTGGGTGGGTGTGTGTGTGTGTGTGTGTGTGTGTGTGTGTGTGTGTGTGTGAGGAGGGCAGGGCAGGGTTGTCTTAGACGAGGGGGCAGGAGAAACGCGAGGGCAGAGCTGGCGTTCGGGCAGCAGCGAACAGGGCCCGAGACCTGGACCTGAGAGTGTGTGGGAGTGGGGGGGGGCGGGAGCAGGCTGGGACAGAGAGGCTGTGGACGGCCAGGCCCGCCTCCTTGCCACCCACCAGGGACCCCCACCCCACCCAGCTGTGGAGGCCGAAGCCATC